CCTCCCTTTAAACATTCAAGTTGCTAAATAATTATACCTTAGCATTTTAACGTACCTAGACATTAAGTCTTTCCAATGCCGCACTGTAAACTGCCATGCCATAGATTTGCCCAATGGGTTATTAGCAACTGAGGTGATGACATTAACGGTATCGCCGAGACCTATGATGTCTTCCTTCATAGAAGAATCTAGTAATCTGCACGATTTATTCAAATATCAAAGTTATTCTACATAGCAGATATGTATCGCTTACTTGCTTATATGATAAGTAAATAAACTGCTTGAACTTGAATCTGTCATTTAAACTTACTGATACAAAAGTTTTCGATCTCGGATTACGCCAAGAGTTGCTAAATATTTTGCCTTGTCAATGGGATTTTGAGATTGAATGTATTTGGTGAACATTTTGTTCCAATCATTTTCATCACCATTCATAATTGCACAGTCAAGAACTACATTTTCCAAATTTGCTGGTACTCTAATATCATATTCATGATTAAGATTATAATACAGAAAAATTATCAAATAAGTAGATAACTGAACTTTTGCTAAAACATCGTACGTTATGGAATCCTTCATGATGTTAATAAATATTGACATCAAATCATAAACAATCAAGCCCTATACATTGTATAGGCATTAATAAGAAATAAAATACTATCAGCTTCATAACGGATACCTCCCTTGCGAACGTAAAAAGTAGTATATAATAAAACATCGTATTCATTTCTAAATACTTGCAACGAAAAAGATTTCCAGAAAAATTATACGTTACTATAGACAAATGCTCCCTTATTACTTTACCTAATTTTACGATATTAATGGAGAGGTATCGCTTAGTGAATAGTAATATAACAGAGTATCGGTACAATTACAATCTTAGCTGTATTAGTGACTATAAAGGAGAAATCGGAGGAAATAAAATACTAATCATCTACGTAAATTGAAATACAGGATATATTTTTCCATTAATAGTTCTATCCGATTTAAAGCGTTAGCAACAAATTTGTATCAAGCTATTACAGGCTAAAAGATCACAATTTTTATAAGTAATATTTGTACCATTATGAATTTTATCAATCTGAATAACGTATAGAAGCTTTCCTATAAATTCTAGCGATATATAACAACCTACATATTTGGATTAGTAAGCCAGTCCTTAAAGAGAGCTTTACTTCTATCTACCACGTCCGGGTAGTTAATGCTGCACAAGGCACCTATCACTACGGTTCGTAGGTATCTACAAGATGGCATTAAAAAGTTTTATAACAGTTTCAGGGTTGACCAGCACAACCTAAAGCTACCTCTAATGATTTATCCAGAGTAAAAGTCTGTAAGAATTGTAAAAACTAGCTGTGAATTCAATAATTTACTTACTGTCTGAAAGGTGGTCCATCATCGAGCCAACCGAGATATTCATAGATAGGCTTTACTTTGTTCAGTAAATATTTCTATATTGGCATATTAAAAATACATAAAGCAATTAAAATGTACAATATTAACGGTAGATGTAATCTATGAATATAGTTATTAGCATTAGACTCAGTAAATTACTTTCGCTACATTCTGAAATATTTTTTATTGACAATAATATAATGGTAACTAAATAATTTAACACACTACGGAATAGATTCCAACACCTAAGTTACTGAAAATACTACGTCTAATGAAATCTGCACCTCTGCGTTTTTTCTGTCTGCTTCCGCGGTTAGCAGAGAATGTATATAAAATATACCATCCAAAGCGGCTTTAACAGGTAAATAGTTTCTTTCTTTGTCCATGTACCATGTAAGTGAAAGAAACGTTCTTGCAGCTAATAATCCAGTCCTATCCGTGAGCATTAAATAAGTTACACTATATTTAAAGCGTGTATGCTGGAAGAATAAAAATTAGAGTTGCTAATTTTTGATTTGTACGTAGTATTTTAAGTACTTTGATAAAGCAAGAGAGTCATCTAATAATCCAAACCGATCGAGCTCGTTTAGTTCCTATGATAAATATTTAATTCAAGTAAAAATTAATGAATTATTTTAACTAATCATATATAAGTTGAATATGATCTTTACGTGCAAGTATTGCCAAGGCTGTTAGTATGTTAAATTTAATACATAAATTATTAGCTGCTATTAATTTAAATAACCGTATGTTTTTGGCTGAGCTGTTTCTCCAATTCCCTCCAATTTTGAGCATCATAGTTAACTCTGTAATAGCCACTTTGATTCAAGTTACCCTTAATCCATCTAAAGTCTGCGGTGGTGGGTATTGTACCTAGCGGAACAATATGTTTTACGCACTTAAAGTACGACATGAATACAAGCTATTTGTAATTATAAGTTATATTCGATGTGTTACATAACACACTTTTAAAAACGCCGCCTATAAATAAGAATGCATTATATCATAGACTCAAGAAATACACTATCTAGTATTTCGGATCTATAAAGGTGAGCTAACCATTATCCATTTTTAGTAAATGTCTATAAGTTTCTCCGTTGGACGTTTTAACTGAGACAGGAACATACCATTTATATCTAAATATCATGAACAAATAGTAGCATATACAGTTAGTTATTGCAGTGATTTGAAATCACACATTACAAAGTCGAATAATCAGTGTAATAACTTTCAACTTATTTACCCGTAGACTGGTGGCTTTGATTTGGTTTGATCGCTAGTTGGATTAATCTTATACAATTGCTGCGTGATGCCTAACTTGCCTTGCGTTAATTTTTGTATCGTAATAACTGGAAAATGGGACTGCTTTGTCCAAGTATTCATCAATCCCTCAACGTCGTATTGGCCATGCACTGCCTTAAAATAAAATTGTTCCAATCCCATCAGAGAGGTATTAATATTTTATGAATATGGCTTGATATAGTAATTTAATTTTAACGTCAAGATATATTATGTCACTTAAAGAAATTATGAATTGGTATCATTAGTTTCATCAAGTAAAATGTTGGCATGATCGCAACATTTATATGAAGGAATATTGAGTCAATCAAGTGATATTCGTAATTAGTGATTAGGGTCATAAGCAATTCTTATACTATACGTCGTGTCATTTTATACTGTCACCACTTAATCATATCCAATAATACTTTACTAAGATAAGGTATTTTAGACAAAAAGCCATAAGTACGTAAAAAAATAGATCATAACCGATCATAACATGGTACCGATAACTGAGGATTAAGTTTTCATATGCTTTTTTAAAACTCATGTACACATTGCTGTAACCATTAAGCACAGGCTTACTAAAATTAATAAAGTTATCTATACATAATAACAGGCGGAAAGTTAAGCTTTCATCATCGCTATTTTTACTACTGACATTTGACAAACTAACATACAGTATAATGGTGCAAAGATATATCAAAATCTTACAATAATATACTCCGTCTAATTTTGCCTTCTAGCTATGCTAGAATGAAAGGTTTAATACAATACGCATATATCAATCATCATTTATAAATTGCAGTAAGATGAGACGGTATCTACTGCAAATGTAAAACGCTATCTGCAACGAGATTATTATCACGAAATTGAATGTTTACAGTACTGTAGTTCGCAGAAGTACAAAATCCTTGTTTTTTATACTTTTGTATAACATTGTACAGAAATCTATTTCAATAACTTATCCAGTAATTCCATAGGAATTAGTTACGGCACTAACATAGAGTCAGCATCATAACCGATTACAATATACTGATTTCTATCCTACGTAACATCGTTTCTGCTATAAAAGATGCGTATTGAAGTATAGTATTGCAAAATTGGAAATGTATCAGAGCATTACCGTATCAAATTTTTACTAAAACTTATAATAAAACGTCTTTTGGAAAGTAACAATTTTAATAATTAGAGATACCTTTCTAAACGCTTTCCATAAATCGCTATCGTCAGCGTTCGAAAATTTGTGCTTGTTAAGATATATCTGTATCCCTTTACGAAATGCTAAATCTCCCAATTCTGTATGAAGCATATGCAATAGCGCGGCTCCCTAACAATTGTATAAGAGATATAATTTAAATATTTAGGGATAGCTTACAATTTGTAACGTAATTTAGCTACAAATACGTAAGGACTGGTTACTAAGTCTATTAGCTGATGACCTTAACTTTATAAAGTTAATAAATAGAATAACATGAATAGTAAAAAAATTCTTATTTTTACTAAGATCAAAAACCTTGTCATAAGATATTGCATTAAACATAGTTCCAATTTGGCGAACAGTAGTAACTTGAACTGAAATTGGTTTAGCACTTTTGTAGCCATCTACTCTCATTGCGCGACTTGTAGATGTCATTGGGAATTGACGCATCTGTAATTTAAATACTATATATCAAACCATTTATGGAATCGTGAAGTTTTGATAAATATTTCGATGATTTTTGAAGGTGAAATTAACTATAGAGACTACTAAACAAAGTCTAAGCTATAATTATATATTGATTTGGTTCTGTATCGTAGTCTGTGCAGAATCAATATCCATGAAGAGCTAATGGAACAAACCATCTGAAACTCGGGATTTGTGTAGCTAGCTCCAATATTTTCCATATAGGAAGCAAATCCTTCATTTAACCATAAATTATTCCACCAAGTTAGCGTAACTAAATTGCCGAACCACTATAATATTAAAATATTAAATTGAGATTAGTACCCAATCTATTTCATGATCCTTTTTGCTTAGTATTCTGCTACATAGCGCTAAGATGCGATTTGCTTACCTGATGAGCGATTTCATGACAAACTGTCGTTGAGATTGCCTGGCGGTCTAACGTAGAGGCAGTTGTATTATCATATAACAAAGAGGTTTCTTTAAAGAAGAGTAAACCCCAATTTTCCATAGCTGAGGATGAAAAAAATGGTACCCCAACTATATCTATATAAGACAAGATAAATTTAAAGTCTTCTTTGAGAATGATGTTGTAGTGTAACTTTGATGTGATATGCTAAATAAAGATTAAATTCAAGTGGAAAGACTATCAAAAAGAGATTCTTTTACCTAATTTCGGTAATGGGTAATCTATACCAAAATAATCTTCATAAAACATTAGAACTTCTCTAGCTACATTTAGGGCATACTGCGTTTTGCTTATTTGGCGAGGTACCGACCATGTGCGTACCTTTATTAAGAACGAAGACTGCCGTTATAATTATCACTAAGACGTAACTAAAAAATACTAAATGATATCTGAATAATCAATATTAACTTCTTGGCATAGAAGATAGTATTGACTATTGATTCTCGACTTTGACAGTAGGAAAAATTTATATACTAAGTTTCACTGGCAACTTTAAATAATATTACATTAATACCGTACAGTACATGAAGAATGATTATTATTACCATAATGCCATTGGAAGTATTCGTTGTTAGTGAATCAAACTGGCATAGGATGAAAGCAACTAGATAGGTGCTCATGTAAGTTGAATTGGCAAAGTTAATTTGAGCATAACCATTCTGCAGATTGGTAATTGATTCTATAGGCATATTTGACAGTGCTACCCATTTATCAACAAGAGGCCGTATTATACTTATTTTGAAATGAGATTTAAAAGTTGGTTCATCGAAACAAGGAAAGGCTGATCTAGCATCGGCAGGTTCAAAATCGGTTGATATCGTTACTCTACAGCAGAAGAAAAGATAAAATGAAAGAAAATTGGTTGAGACGCTTAACTAATTTATGCTTTTATATCAGTAGTATAGTATACAATTTGCAACACAAACTAAATTTTGAAAACTATGCTCGATATAAAAGTAACTGTAGCGATTCCATAGGATTCCAGATGAAACGGTAGAGTGTTCGCGATTATACCGTAAGTAGAAGCTATGGTACAAAATCTAGTATTATAAATTACAATTTGAGTGGATAATGATAATAGATCGCAAAACAATGTTGTTTTTTTAAAATAGAAACTGATTTCCTTTCGGAATAAAACAGTACATTAATCAAATAGGATAGAAATTCCCCAGCTTCTACAGTTATTATAGCTCTGCATGCTGTTATTAGTACTGTTCGTACTAATAGAGACGCTCCCAGTTGATGATGCAGTACTGCATAAAGGCATTATTTAATATCCAAGCGGAAGTCTAATGGTAACAAGGCTAAAGTTTACTTAAGCATCCTTTAATGTTAGCACTAGTTCCCTTTTACTATGTATGTTTTAAATTATGATATCCCTCTAACGTCCGCGTATACAGTAGTATAAGATACGTTATAACAAAGCATTGGCGTGTTCTATTAATAACTTGCGAGTATATTAAATTTCGATGTACTAAAGATACACACAAATTCTTTACCATTCTCAACCCCTTATGAATAATATCCAACCCATTTATTGCTTTACTAAGCAAATGAAACTAGGAAAAACGTAGAGTATAGCATGGTATGGCATTGTTTCCTACTTAGCGAAAGTGTACCAACAGGCTGAACTAGTAAATTTTCAAGACATAGGACTGTACAACTATCGCCTTAAATGAATACCATAATCAGTAAACCGATTCATTTTCGAAATAACTGAAATAGAAGGAGTTCACATCAAAGGGAGTAATATTAGCAATCTTCTGTGTAGTAGCAACAGCATCGCTTAGCTCTTAACAGAAGATAATTACATAATACAAGTACGCCATTATTAACGATCAAATTCATAACAATTCTAAATTTCAATACATCCAATTTTGATATCTTTGAAGATATTCTACTGTAATATTAGCATGCATCAATAGCATCATCAGTTCACTCATTACAAAAAAAACGAAAGGGATGAAGTAAGGTGAACCTCGAGTTTAGGCTTTTTAAGATTCCATCTTCAAGTATGAAGAAGTGGCTTGAATACGACTGAAATAAGGATGATTGGGTTTTAAAGTTTAAATCAATAATCTAGTTCAAATCTCCTTAAAAGGGTAATGACAATATCGATACCTTTACTAATTGTTTCAAGCAGAGAATATTCAGCTAAAGTATTATTGTTGACAATTACCACTATATGTATTCATCGATGGCGATACAGTATAGAAAGAAAATAAAAGCTACGATTGGATTTTAATGGGTTTGGCTACAGCGCATATAGATTGAACGCCTTCTCAGAGCGATAATACTTTATAATTTTATAAACTAGCATCTAGGGGTTGCTCCAACGTAACCATCCATTGAAGAATTGCGACATTCTCTCAACTTATTGATTGCAACAACAGTCGAACTAGAAGCTGCACTATATTAAAACCGAGGATAGCAAATGTATACCGGGTACTACATGCAGCACAATAGAAGTAGAGAGAAAATAAAAGCTACGATTGGATTTTAATCTGGGTTTGGCTATAGCGCCTATGGATTAAAACGCAATCTCAGAGCGATAACAGTTTCTAATTTTTATAAAACTAGCATGTAAAGGTCGTTTCAATGTCGAATTCACGAAGAATTGCGACATTTTCTCGTGTTGATTGCAACAACAGTTCAATTAGAAGTTACAGTACTATACTAAAAGCGAAGATGGAGAGTCTCTACACGTTGTAGAATTGCAGGTCAGATTAAATTTAGTCCATAAGACTTTAAAACACATTCAAGTACATTATGCTTTGCATAAACACAATGATACGAGACTAAAAGGGATAATTTCCACTCTTAAAATTCCTAGTATGGATGAAAAAGAAATGAGAAATGGCAGTGTACTTCATTCTTTGAAGCACTAACTTGCCTATTAAGACAACGGCAAGTACAAAATGTGCTGGACTACGATGATACTTTATTATCATCGTTACTGAAAAGAGGCGAAAGATTATATCTAGTTATATCTTGTGGCAGGATTATCGTGAGACTGTGCTACTACTTTATTCTAGTAAAAGTACATTTACTGTACATGGATACTGGCCGAGATGTCGTCTTACCTTTTATCACCGTTCGCTGTAGTATATATGCTTCTATAGACTCCAATCAATTTATTGGTAGCTATCTGACCGCTGAATAGAATTTTCAAAGTGTAGAACTTGTACCTTGCCATGGTTTCGTTAACTTTAATATACAAATACTCGTTATAGGTATTTTTTAATACTTGGACTACCTTCAATTTTCTTGATGGATCTCTGGTGTGAACAAGGTGAATAGTACCTATGTATAATTGTCGTTGGTGTAGAACGATGTAGTCGACGGGATGTTTTACTCTGATAATAATCGATACCTGGCCGCTATAATTCATGGCTTGGATATTTGGTACTAATAAAAGTTGATATTGAATAGGCTGTAAATGCAATGGTAGACGAGATGCCGTATAGGGGAATTTTTTCCCGTCAACGCTAATGTTATTGAATTGAGAGCTATCATCATTGCCGTGGGTTGAACTACTCAATTGATTACAACCGTTGATTTGTGCTTTCGATTTTGCAATGATCCCGATCAAAATGGCTAAGATGACAACACCAGCTAATATTGCACCAAAGATAAAACAACGTTTATTGCGTGTGAAACGGCTATCCGAATGGAATTGTTCGGATGAATCGGCCGTTTTAAACAGTCTTCTTTTCTCATCGGATTTACTATACCCATCTCCTAGTAATTGATCATTGTCATGACTTTCAATATCAGAATCTCCAGCGTCCATTTGTTCAATATTCTACTATCGGCCTATGACAATATTCACGTTTTTAGGGCGGCCAATGACACTATACGATGATTGCCAATGCTTATATATACGCGTCGATGGCTCTACCCTTTTCAAGGTGTTGGTTAACGATAGAAGCCCGACTTGAACTATAAATAATCCCCTATTATTATCTGCAATTTTAGGCTAAAATGCATTGTTACCCATACAAGCAAGCCAATTGCAGTTCATTAAAATACTGTACTGTACTCATGAAGAAATATGAATAAAATGATCTCTATTATTAGAATCAATCATGATCAAGTAATATTGAAAGTGATATTTTTAGTCGTTGTTGCTTTCCTGATCAACAATGAATGATGCAATGAATGAAAACACCAGGTATCGAAAAGGCCCGATGCACCTGTCATGATATTCACCCACCAACAGCTTGTCCAGAGGTTGCTTTTGTCCAGGCGTCCTGTAGCACCGTATATTGTACTGTACACTGTAGAGAATCCGCTATACTGTGCAGTACAGTACTGTACAGTACGACACTGCTTTTGTACTGTACACTGTAGTGTACAGCGAGTAGAAATTCGATTCACATTTTTCAAAATGAAATAAAAAATGAAATAAAACTGACCAAAATTGATAGATTCTATTGAATTTTTGTTATGAATCGATAGCATTTAGACCTTCCTCTTGCTACACGTTGAAAATGTTGAGAATTTTGATGCAAAAATCGGAATAAAAGTATGCACTCATTGCTCCTGAAAGAAATTCTACACATTGTACAGTATTGTAGTCCATGACAGTGTCAGTGAGAGGTACAGTCATGGACTGCTTAATATGAACGTCAAGATGAAGTGGCAAATTGCCCAAAGCAGTCATGCTGTATATGGCTTGGAATAAAAAATTGCTTATACAGCATGTATGAAATTTTATTTTTAATGCACAAAATCTCATACTTTAAAATTAGTATTATTCATATTACTACCTTAACAGGATATGATCCAAGACGTGTACGGTAGGCTAACGCATTGGTTGCTAACTAGATATGGCCTAGACTTTACACCCGCTCTGTACATGCAATGGCGTTTACGGTTAGCAAATACTTTACGTATACCACCGTTCATACTACAGTCAACACTAGTTAATTCCAGTGCTTTCAGCACTGGTTAATACTTTCATTTTGCATTGCTTGCTAACTAGACATGGCCTAAACTTTCCACCCGCTCTGTACACGCAATGGCGTTTACGGTTAGCAAATACTTTACTTATACGATTGTTCATACTACAGTCAACACTAGTTAATTCCAGTGCTTTCAACACTGGTTAATACTTTCATTTTGCATTGCTTGCTAACTAGACATGGCCTAAACTTTCCACCCGCTCTGTACACGCAATGGCGTTTACGGTTAGCAAATACTTTACGTATACCACCGTTCATACTACGGTCAACACTAGTTAATTCCATTGCTTTCAACACTGGTTAATACTTTCATTTTGCATTGCTTGCTAACTAGACATGGCCTAAACTTTCCACCCGCTCTGTACACGCAATGGCGTTTACGGTTAGCAAATACTTTACGTATGCGATTGTTCATATTACAGTCAACACTAGTTAATTCAGTGTTTTCAACACTGGTTATTACTTTCATTTTCTCTTTGTTATAATCGACTTGCAAAAACTGTTGTAGCCCATTAGTGCACTCATTATAGATAGTAAAACTATCTTCTGTACCAGTGTTATAGTTAGACGGCAGTTTGGGCATAGGCGTTAAAATGATGCCAGCTGTGCAAGCAACCAGCGTTGAGCGGTTAACCGATCGATATTGATTATGCATTCGTAGGAAACGACATTGAAGCCAATGCAATCCATAGAATAAAATGTCCCAGAGGTAGTCACTGCTAGGGCTTGTTCGAGGGAAAAAGAGATTTTATTAGTGTTTCTTGCTCGCTCGTGTACCTGTAAATGTGAATGATTGATTTGTTTGTTTGTTCTCATCGATATACAGTATGCAGTACAGTATATTATATTGAATCAATGCAATAATAGCTTACGGCGACTATTCGATACGACGACGCCATCATCATCGCTTTCATAACGCCAATACATTGGATAGCAAAATGACTAGCGCTAGAATACAAATCACAGCGCTTTTCCGGATCAGTACGAATATTGAATCATTTCGTAACTATCATTATAGATTGATCAGCAACTATTGTGGTGCAAAATTGGAGGTCGAGATGATAGCTAGAAGGATATCATTGCAACTAGAACGTAAAGAAATTCTCCATAGCAAAGATAGTAACAGTCAAAATGATTCGCTTTAATAATTTATTACCTTCTAATGAAACAACAGTAAATGAGGCATACCTTGGTGCGACCTTTATCGTTGGTAGCTAATGACTATCTCTTTAAATAATTATATTCATAGATTCAATATATTTTTATTATTTGTAGTAGATAAATATTTTTTTATCCAATGCCATCAATTCGATTCTATTTCATTCACCTCAGTAAATAGCAAAGCTATTTTCGTACAGTATTTAAATTACATTATTGTAGCTACATGTGTATCTGAGACTTGATGTAAAGCGCAAGAATAATTAACATTGATTAATTAATTAATTATTATTATTTTTAGTATTTTAGAATAGTTGGTTTGAGCTGGTTGGCAAAAAAATTGACTTTCTTAATAATATACGAAATTTACTGCAATAGATATACAGTACATTGTTTACTATCTTGCTCTCGTTGACATTGTAATAACAGGTGAAAAGTTCAACATAATCATAACAGACAGCAATACCTAATAACTCATTTTATTTATCAAAAGCTGTAATTCAGATCAAGCTTAGATTTTCAGAATTTTAAATGACTGATTGGATAAAAGTTTATTCAACTGCTGACAACCATAATCCGGATGACATCAAATATCTGTGCTATATACAATCAATGCTTAGGAAATTTTTTGTTCTTATTTATTGATATAAGCTCGTCTACACCCATTCTACAATTAAATTTTCAATTTCAAACGAAATTGCTGGAGCCGTCACAGAGTAATCAACAATAATTACTATAGTATTGCAAAATACACCTGCCAGACTAAATAGTTTCGAATAGAAAATATAGTGATGATGGTAATATCGAATACATCAATCCAATCCTATCAAGCTAATAACAGATAGTACTATTCATAATAATTAAATAAAGTTCTATCCAGTCAATTTCCTAGTATATTTAGAAAATCTTATAAAATTGTACACATTATCATCATAGGGTAATACAATTTAAGCCTGTAAAAAAAATGAAAGGCTTTTTAACATAATACTGCTGCCCCAAATATAGCTTTGATTACGATCCAAGATTGTAGAGATAGTCTGATTGCAGTTAAATAGTCCTTGATAGTTGCCAAATGAACCTAATCTTATGTAATAAAGTGAAGTTTACAAGAAACTGTATTTCTTGTTGTATTTTTGAGAAGACACTTTATCATACATACTATGCGAGTTGAGACGATGTAATTATAAAGTCACATTCGGAAAGACTAGATAAGTGCGAGATTGAGAAGTATATTATAATCAAATAGAAAGTTATTAAAGAATGGAAACTTTAAATATGTTATGTAAGTTAAGATAAATAGACCAATGCAATTGCAATAATCTTGGAAGGACTAGATATTGGCTATTATATTAATTTTAATCCGAGTTATTTACCTTTTTGATCAAATCCCGATACCGTACCAATATGGTACCTGGTACGAAACAGTGATCCCTGAGAGATTTTTATACAATGCCTCAATTGATTAACGAATCATATTTATTAAAGCTGTTTAAAAATTAACATCGTGCCGAAAAAAATTCAAATAGAACAATGTTTCAATTCGTTTAATTTGTTACATGTTAAAATATTTATAAATTCAAATTTAGCAATTTCCTGGTATTTTTATTTAATAAATAGCAGCTGCTGAAGTTAATTTGAGAAAATGTAGATTAATTTTACAGTACAGCTAATAATTCGATCTGAAAGTAGCTTTATTAATAAGATAAAACCCGAACGTAAGACCATCATATCACACTTTATAATTATCCTATCAGCAGAATCAAAACTAATTTATCGTTGCTCAATCTGTTGCAGATAGCCCTTAAACACTCCTGTCAAAGACCTTTAAACCAGTAATTCTTTTACTTTATGAATTTCAGATTGCTTCATAGATAGGTCAACTGCGTCGTTACTAATGGAAAGAATAAAATACGTTTGAAATAAATATTGATTACTAAAAGCGGATAATAGCGTTATTCTATTAAGTTTGCACTTGAATATTTTAAGAATTATTGCATTCAATTTTAAGTGGATTATAAGGCGACATTGGTAATAGCGAAATTACTAATATTAAAAGCAACTACCAGCATGACCTGAATATAGCGTGAATAGTACTTTAAATGTCAAAACCATTTTGCATTAAGTAAAATCCCGAGCAAGAAATATTTTACAACTCTAAGATAGTGATGCTCCTGTAACATTTTTTTTAAGTACCGTATCACTACTCTACTATTTGCTGCAAGAAGTAGTCAATTTTGACGATTATAGGCAACTAGGAAAAGATATTAGCTCACATTTTCAAATGACAATGATCACATGTTTGTATTAATCAAGAGATTGCAAATGCAAGTTGTAATAACTACCATCGCAACTGCGTTTTCCCATTTACAATATAGTAAATCTTGGCCGATTCTCGACTACAGCACTGAGGTATACAGAAGCAATAATACTTAGTTCAAATATTTCAAAATACCGGTAATACTTAATCGGATGTCGCTAGTGCCATCAGGAAAAGCTACTTACTGAATAATACTCATTAATTAAGGAATCCTAAGGTTTTCAGCATTTTTAGCTAGATTTAAGAATATGCTGTATTGTTTATTGAAATTAAGCAAACGTGATGAGCAAGAAGAACACTTAGTTTTTGAAAGACAAGATGACATAATTAAGTCTCAATGACTTGCTTTTA